GGCTATTCAATTTAAGGATGGAAATGCAAAAAGCAATTATTATTTATTAAATACAGTTACTATTCATTGGAGGGGATTCAATAGGCAATTGCCCTGGGGGCGTTCCTATACTGGAAGTGCTCTAAGTATAGCTCACTTCACCAAATTAAAGCATAATCCTAAACCAAACTCATGCAACCCAAAATACTTGAAGCCGTAAATTAGTGTCTAAAAATCCACAGATTGGTTCTTCCTTACTTGTTTCATCAGTGACTCCTCCTAAACCAGTTCCAAATAACAATAATGTTTTGGTTCTTCTGATCAATCAAGTCTTTCATCTAGTACTAAGTCATTCAATCAAGAGGGAAAAGAAATCCATACCGAGTTGATTTTTAAGTTGTATAATTAGTGTTAACTAGCTTTCGTTCGTTCGGCAGCAAATTTATTTGGGTATAAACGATTTCCAGTTCGAATGATTTTTTTTCTAAAGAGAATCTTCAAATAAAGATTAAGAAATTGAATCGTTTTTATTATGAATTTTCTACGGAGTAGATACCTTATTCGTAAAATGTGAGATATGCAAATTCTCCACATAGATGGAAGTTTATCCTTCCATCAAGTTCTAAGAGTATTTGGTATTGCTAGTTTTTCCTCTTGGAATTATCTTTTAAAAGGTACGAAAATGTATGCAAAGTAATCATTCTTATACATTCTATCGGTAGACTTGTGTAAAGATTATATATGATATTTCAGTTTTCATCATGTGATAAATTCTTGGTCGTATACCCACTACCAGAATTTGCGTAGAACACTTGACAAAAAATAGTTTTGTTTAACAAAACCTTTCTTTGTACGTCGATCCTTGACCATTTAAACAGTTATTTCTGATTTCACAAAACAAAGAAACTAGCTAGCCAGCAGCTAGGGAGTTTCGTGACCTCACCAGAAGTAAAGAATAATATAAAACTTCCACGCAATAGTCTGATTTTATCCTTATTCTGTTTTATTAAGCTAGTTGCTTGAATCCACGCCCATCCCTCTCACCCCCAAAGAATAGAAAAGAGATGGATTAGGTTAGTTCGGATAAAAGGAGTTGCAGCCTTGCAACGACAAGAACTTCTTACGACAAACAATCTTCTGAGAAATGAGGAAAACTTCCGTTAACATTGTATCATTTATGATAGAGGTCATGCTATACAAGAAATTGGAAAGAACAAAAACATTTGAAAAACCCAAGAAATTTGATGTCATCACCCTAGGTATAACGTCATTCTATAGTACAAAACCTAAGACATTATATATATGAGGATCAAGAACACACATTTTGACATACTTTCTTGTGGTTCCCATTTCGTAATATTTTTTAAAAATCCGAACCATCAATATTTCAATCCAGAACTATCAAGACATTTATTTATAATGAAAAAAAATGAAAGAATAAGAAACAATAAAATCCCAACCATTTAATCCAGCAATCATGATTTTGGATCATGATGATTTTTTGTCGAGATGATATTTGAGAAGAAACCTAAAAGATAGATAGTTGGGTCGTAGAATACATTCTTAGTATATGTTCTAAAATCTTACGAAGTGATTCCGATACAACATGTACTAAAATACCAGATTTTAGTATACGTTCTATCCAAATCACTTTTTTTTCTGGTTAAAAGTATGGGCATGCAAAGTAATGAAACGCTTTTTTTCTGGTTCGCTTTATTCACTAGAAGTTAACAAAAAAAAGCTGACCGTTTGAAATGAATATTTGCATGAAGGCTACACTTATAAATCTCCACTATATATATAAGGACAGAGCTAGGGTACACCACCTCATTACCTCCAATCCAAAACCCACTCTCTCTGCCATCTATCCATCACACTATAAATTTACAAATGGCACCAATGTTGAAGTTCAATGTGCAAGTCAGCAAACCAGAGCTAATTCAACCTCAAAAACCAACCCCTAGAGAATTCAAATATTTATCCAACATTGATGACCAAAAAGGCCTAAGAAACCACATACCATTCGTCCATTTCTATCCCCCAAGCTTAGCCTCGTCATCCAAAGATCCAGTTGTGATGATCAAACAGGCATTGGCCAAGGCCCTCGTTTACTACTATCCAGTGGCCGGGAGGCTCCGGTGTGCTGCTAAGGGTAAGCTTGTTGTGGACTGTTGTGGTGAGGGAGTGGTGTTTCGTGAAGGCGATGCCAATATCAAACTAGCACAACTGCATCAAGTTGAAGGTGGACCGAAGCCACCATTTCCTCAATGGGAATGTTTTCTTGTGGATGATTTATGGGGTAGCGTCCTCATCACTGATTCACCTTTGCTTCGCATGCAGGTTTGTGACGATGACTAAAGTTACTGAAAATATGACCTTAACCCCTCAAACTCAATTTCTTTCATATAAAACCCGACATAATTTTTTTTACTCGAATAAAACCCAATGACTAGACTCCACATAAGCAAATTCATTATTTATGTTTGACTTTACACATTTTAAAATTTTCAAATGCCTAAAATACCCCTTTTGCATGTTTAATGTGCACAATTAAACATATGTAGATTTTAAGGATGATTAATGTTATATGAGAATTCAAGATTTCCACATTTTGTAATTAATTTGGTTGATTCATGTTTCTCTCACTCCATAAAACTTGCTTCTAATTTGATATAGGAATTAATTTGGCAAGTTTTCTTAATCTAACAACATTTTTCAATTTAAATAAATATATATATATATTAGTGAAATAGTCTATCTTTTAAAATATTTATCAATAAAATAATGTACCTATTGTTCAAATTTTAGGATAAAAATTTACCAGTTCTTATTTAACAATAATGTATCCACAATGTTATTTTTGTATGAATATAATTTACCTACTTTTTGATTTTATATGAAACTAATTTACCTACTGTGACAATAATGTATCTACAATACTACATAAAAGATTTACCTTTTTTAACAACAATACTGTATCAACAATTTTGTTTTTGTATGAATATAATTTACCTACAATTTAACTTTTCAAAAAATGTATCTTCTATTTTATGTTTTACTATCGTATGTATGTTTATGTGTTCGCAAAATAATTTATCTAAAGTTATATAGTTAAGAGATATTGTAATGCATTATATTAATCCATTATTAGATTGGTAAAAGAAATTGTTAAAAACATTAGCCATAATGGTTGGCTAATAATGGTTGTATGAGAACAATTATAGAAAGTTGTGGCATAAATTGTAAATAACTTATATTAATAGGTTACTTGTTTTCTTATGTGGCAATTTATTTAAATTTTGAGTTTTTATTGGATGTTGATTCATAAGTAGGTTTTTATCCGAGATATATGAGTTGTATGAGCCTATATCTAAACAACCCCTTAAGTTATTACATAATCCTCGTCATGAAATAGCTCCATGTTTGGAATGTCTTTCCCTTTCGATTTTCGTCAATCGACGATGGAAAGGTCCCGTTTATGGAGAAAATGAAAACACACACTGTTCATACACGTTGTATTTTAACTGGAATGTTCTACTACATAGTACTATGATGCGGTCATGCATATAAATATAATAGTTCATCTGTTTCAAACTTTGAAGAAACACGTATGTAAACGGGTTTCATATCTATTAGAGATGTGATTCACATATTGACTGATTATATATATGTATGCTTACCTATACACTATGAGGGAAGGGTTAGATGTATACATTGGACTCTTTCCTGCCTAGCCACCCCCAACCCCCTTGCCTAGGGGGAACGGGTGGAGTTGCCTCCACAACTTTTGGATTGTATATCTATGCAAACTAGAAAAATTAATTAGTTTGTCTTGTTTGTTTTTGCTCTATTGAAAATCCTTTTTTGTTAAAAGAAAAAGGATGTGCACATAATTTTTCTTCCCTCCATTGATGTGTAAATTTCATGTCACTTGGCAGGTCACAAGGCTTGCATGCGGAGGGTTTGTGTTAGCATACACATTCAACCACTGCATCTGTGATGCCTATGGCGCTTACCTCTTCATGAAAGCCGTTTCAGAATTCTGCTTGAATCCAACTCGAACTGCTCCATCGTCGTTACCATCTTGGGGAAGAGAAACTCTCAACCCCAGGTCACCTCCCACCATCTCCTACCCCCACCATGAGTATGACATAACTAGTAGTACTAATCATGAACCTACCATTTCTTACGCCGAAAGCGACTTCAATTCTCTTGCTCAAACATCACTGTTCCTCTCACAGGCTGACATATCATCTCTCAAAAACCAAATTAGTCCCAGATGCCCCTCCTTTGATGCAATCGCGGGGTGTTTATGGAGGGCGAGGACTCGAACCCTAATGAGCCCTCAATCCACTACAAGGCTTCTCTTCCCTATTGATACCCGTTTTCGATCCAAGCCATCCCTTCCCAATGGCTACTACGGATGCGCTGTCGTGTTCCCATGCGCAATTGCAAAGGCAGCCGAACTAGTCAACAGTCCGTTATATTATGCTTCAAACTTGATCTCACAGGCCAAGAAGAGCGTCGTGGGGGAGGAGTATAGGGCTTCGGTTTTGGATTTCATTGAGATGAATGGGCGTAGAGGGTTTTGTTCGGAAGGGACGTTTGTGGTTTCGGACATGACCCGATTGCGGTTTGTTGATGTGGATTTTGGTTGGGGGAAAGGTGTGTATGGTGGACCAGCAAGAGCTGGAACTGGGGTTGTACCTGGAATGGTGACTTCAGTTATTGGGCACAAAAATGAAGAGGGCGTTGAAGGAGTGTTGGTTCTGGTTTCACTACCTGTGGAGTCATTGGACAAGTTCCTTGAAGAGGTAAGGAAAGAGATTGACAGGGGTATTTCTTCTGCCATACACATTTCTGCTTTGTAGATTCCCATATTATTATCCTCATCTCTGAATTACAAGATCAATTTCCAAAAACTACACTTGATTTTCCGAAATATCGATGTTCATGTTTAGGACTGCACATTTTCTGAATCCGAATATATTGAGATGAAAATTGTAATAAAATTAAAGATGTAAGGCAAATTTTCTATCATACAAAGCCAAAGAGAAACATAAATCTGACTCAAAACATTTCCGATTTCCAAGCAAGCAACCGCAATGTCTTATCTTACAGATGCAGTCTAAACGTACAACATAATCTAAATACATAAGAGCTTGACCTACACCTTGCAATAGATACCGTGCGGTTATGGTTTTCACTGCGAAGCTGCACATGATGCTGGATGATTCAAGTTCAAGGTACCAGCTGGCAACCTGCAATTTTCAGGATACACTTATTAAGCTAGCGAATACAGATTACCATGGAACAATTAAACACAGAGCTTCAGCAAGAGTTTATGCAATGACGACGATTTGAAGTTGGATTGAAGTATTTTAAAATGAAATTCAAACAAGAGTAATTATACCTTATATAACTTCAAGGGAATTCATAATACACATATATTTACCCTCCCCTCACCTGGAAACTGAGAAGATATACTACACCGTCATAAACAAGTTTTTATTTTCTATTTGAAATCAAGTTGAAGATTGAGAACCTTTTTATAGATGATTGTTATACTAAAGGAAACCCATTGCTGCTGCCTGCCCTCTATAAGAATCCAAGAGCGGAACAAGATTTGAAAGCAAAATGTAGAATGGAGAAAAACGAATCGCACCACGTGGCAACTAAGTTGAAAGAATTTATCCCTGCTCAATCAAGTACATCTTTTGGTTGATTAATTTTCCGTAGGTACACACCAATTGTAAGAAAATGTGAAGGCATAATACCTTCTCCAAACAACAAAACAATCTAGCAGGCATATTAGCTTATGAATACTCAGCAAGGAAAATAAAGTAAAATACAAGCTCTGTTTTTCAAGTTACTCTCCTGATAAGTTATGACACCAGATTTTCGTTTCTAGAAAAATTTACCAACTCATTCTGCATTTGTAGAAAAGGGAAATTGCTGAGCAATTATGGGTTCGGGAGGGAAGGAAGGTGGGGAGGGGTAAACATGGTACTGTGGGAAACCAAAGCAAAGGAAAACATTACATGATACACAAAATTCTTCAAACTGGAAAGCAACATATGCATCCATGTATTCAACCAATAGGAAGTTTCTTCGGTATTCATGAGAAATAAAAATGTAATTAAATCTTTATAGTGAATGAAAGCACAAGTTAAAATACATAAAAGAAATGGGAAATAAAATATAATAACAATAAGCTATAACTTACTGGTTATCATTCTGCAAGTTTGTTTCAGACTTCTTGTTCTTCCGCCGCTTTTTGGAAGCTGGAAGAACAGCCCAAAAAGTTGGCGCAGGGCCCAAAGAAGCGGAAGCAGGAGCCAAGGAAGTTGAGGCAGGGGCCAAGGAAGCTGAGGCAGGGGCCAAGGAAGCTGAGGCAGGGGCCAAGGAAGTTGAGGCAGGGGCCAAGGAAGTTGGGGTTGTGGCCAAGGAAGTTGAAACAACAACTAGGGGCTGCTTACAAGCTGGAGGAACAAAAGCTATGGGAAGCTGAGGGGGTGCTTGAGAAGCTGGTTCCTCTTGCTTCCGTTTGATAAATTCATGGCGTGGCGGATGCATTCCCAAAGATGCCTCAGGTGCAACGACTACTGGAGTGTCAGTTGAGATCACATAACCTTGTCCTGTGTTTACTGCTGAAGTTGCAAGACTGGCATGTGAAGAGTCTGGCTCCTTGCTCTTATGTGCAAGTTTGTATTTAGACCTAAGGATCTCCGACATAATGGGTGCTGATTCGGAATCACCTGAATTTATCTTCAATTAGTCAGCCACAAGAAAATAAGTGCATGCACCACATTAACTCACAACATGTAATTTTAATTTCTCTGGAAACACATGTAAAATTAAATAACAAAAACAGTACCTAGAAGTGATTGAATAACAACACGAGCTGCCAACTGTTCAGCCTCTTTCTTGCTTTTTCCAACATCCCCAGTATAGGACACACCGTTGACAACCAAAGAAGATACAAAGAAAGGAACCTTCGCATTTCCCTGAAAAGTCTGGTAAGTAGGTGGTTCTATTTTCCTTTTCATATTATATTCATTCAGGATACTCTTGCAAAACACCAGATCCTGGAAAATAACCAGAGGAATGTAGTAAAATTTAATATCTTCCATTGCATTAGTAAACGCAAAGTGTAAACAAGTATGCATAAATTTCATTTAGATAGTGATGATGCCCTAAAAAAGAGTTGCAAGCTAATTTGACAAAACAAGTTTTTGAACAATTCATAGAGAACGTTAAAACAAAAATTTTGTACCCTAACTGAAACTTTGAGCATAGAAAACCAAACCTCATGAATAGGAGGAATAGTAGGAACTTCTTCCTTTATCTTCTCTGTTATACTGATCATGGCCAGTCTAGCAGCATCTTGCTCAGCAGCTTTTCGACTAGCAAATGTGTTGGATGAAGCATAGCAAACTCCATCCACCAACACGGACGACCTAAAAGTTGATGGTGCATGTCGATTTCCTTCATTGACAGTCTGATAAACCGGAAGTGGGAGGCCTGCTCCCTGGGCATATTCTTGCAGTCGATTTTTGTGCGTCAAGTGATCTGGTAGGCCTACACGAACTCAAATATATAAGAACTACCAAAGATCCAATCTTTTGCAGGTAAGTTATCAGAAAACAATTTCAGCGTGTGAAATTTAAAGAATTTTCTTTATACACGTTCAAAGGCAATATAAAAGAAGTGATACTTTAGCCTAGGTAACTTTTTCATTTATTTACTCCATTAAACATTACTATTATTTCCTAGATAACCAAATCTATTTTATACAAAACAAAAATGTATCTATAGTATCCATCGATGGTTAATCGTAACAATAATTACTTGAAACAAGACTTCATATTTTTTTTTTTCATTCTTTGAGAGATTTCAACAATGTCATTGTGCATGTTAAAACCCTAAATTTCCTAGTAACTTTTTATTGAAAGATCTTCAAAATTGCAATTCTACGAGTCACTAAACCCTAATTACAGATTATGCATTCAATCAAACCACCCTTGATTTCGCTTATCTCCTCCAAATTTCATCAAAGCATACTTCCAATTCAATCGATCAGGAAACTCACATGTATTATAAAGATAAATTAAGTTCTTAGTTATCATCAAAGCATAATTCAGTTGCAAGCCGTACTCCTCTCCTTCGAAGACTAGTTTTAACAGCTAGAAAATTGTTACAGCATCTCCATACAAAATGTCCAAGCTTATTAGGCCTCTCTAATTTCAAGATCATCAGCCACAACTTATTCTTTTCACCCTTTCTACTCGATTCCTTCCAAGCTCACCATAACGCTCCAACTCTTGCGCCACTTTACACCCAGACCTGACAGTTAAGAGCTCGTGCTTAGTATAATGCCAGAACACTTTACCCACACACCCCAAGCAATGTAACGGCACGATCAAGATAGTTTTTGCCTCATCTCTAGTAAAACACATCTCAATCAAATCCCGATGCCAACATCTCGTCTCATGATTAATTAATAACTCCCTCCACACAGTGCTGCCATATCGCCGCGAACAGATACAGAACGAAAGGCTCGAGGTATTTGAAATTGAAAACAGAATTTTTCCTCAGTGAATAACAAAAGTAGTTTGTTCTCCAAAACCAGACATAAAAACAGTAGCACAAAATTACTAAAAATCAACAAACAGCACGAAATCATGTGAATGCTTTTCCATTTCTTGGCATTTCGTTCTTTCAACTGAAAAACAATAATGATAATAATAATAATAATCTCTTTTATTTTCAGGTGGAAAGGACAGACATGAAAATGCAACAGGTAGGAGTTACTCTTAGAAGAAGAAGCTGATGCAGAAGCAGAAGAAGCTGATGGAGAAGCAGAGGAAGCCGGATGCTGAGCCGGAACTTGGTCCTGGACCGGAGCTGGGCTGAGAAATTGGTGATGAACCGGTGTCGGATTTTGTGGTGGAGGTTGGTTCGAGAGCTGCAATTGGAGCTGAGAGAGATTGGAATCGGAAGCCTCCATTTCCACAGATCTAAGAGAAACCCAGGTAGCTTCTAGGGTTTCTGAAGCGTTTTTCCAGGTTTGTTGGTTGTGCGGCTCTTGATTTATTTCTGTGGAGGTTGGTTGGGAAAGTTGTTATATCCAGGTCTGGTTTAATGGACGTGACGAGTCATGAGTGAAGAGTGATAGCGAAAAATAAAAAACTTGATATAGTACAATTTTGTGGATTGAGAATCTCTCCTTATCTCACGTTTTTAATTTTAAGGACTCATCAATTTGGATCATTCAATTTAGATTTTGGAATCTTTATTAGCTCATCTATTGGCCCACTTTACATATAATTTTTTTTTCTAAATGTTCATCATAGGCAATCCAATCTCCGAAAGTAAATAGTAACTGCTTTCAGTGAACTGTTCAAGCGTCTTTTCATCCTTAAACTGAATAGCCCATACTACTGGCATTAGAATATTATTATTTTTTTCTACAAAATAATATAAAAGGTAATTTTATTTTAATAATGTCGAATAATAAAATATTGATTGAAAGTATTTAAAAATATTGAAATGTGATGTAAGGTGGAAGAATATGGTTAGATATTAAAAAAAAAAAAAAAAATATATATATATATATGATTTTTTATATTCTTATATTTTTAATTATTTTTTTATAAATGTTTTGCATTTTTAATTTTTTTTTATATTTTTTTAATTGTGGGAGACGTCATTATGATGTCACACCACCCAGCCACTAGGCCAGGCGATTCGGCCTTGGTGGGGATGTCAGGCTTCCCTGGAGCCAAGTGGATTGATGTGAGCTGGAGGTTTTTGAAAAATCAAAATCCAGTTCCAGAAATCAAAATCTAGTTCAAATTTAAAACCTAGCTCAAAATCAAAACTCAAATCAACATCACCAACCGAAGTCATTGCCCCTAATGGAGAACAAGCGTCGACGACCCCAAACTACTATCATCCCAATCCGGCCAACGTCTTCGTCATTGTCGTGGGCACCGGCGCTCTTGGCCTCCCATATTCCTTCAAGGTCAATGGGTGACTCACCCACCGCTGGGTTCAAGGTTTGGGTTTCAACTAAGATCATCGGCGGTGCAGGTCCATCGTCAATCGTGCGTAGCAGAGGTCAAGGTCGAAGTAAAGTAGACGAGTTCATCGAAATGAAGCACGGTCTTAACCAGTCCCATGCTTTTTTGTCGGTCTTGCTAAGGCCTTCTAGTGAAGGTTTTAGTCGAGACGAGTCCTCTTTAGTCCCATTAAACTTAGTCATGCGCACAACAAATACCAAATTACTTCGACAACTAGTCAAATCTAGCTTAGTGAATGTTAGTGAGGGCAAACAAACACTCCCTTAAGGGGTAATCAATGTTGGCCACAAATGAAATCCAATGGTCACCAAAACTTTTGTATGAATACATTGGCTCATCGATAAAGATGGTTACTGGGTTTTATTATTAATTTAAGTTTTAAGTTTCTAATTTTTTTTTAACGACGAAAAAAAAGACAGGGAAAAGACATTAAATTCATATGTAAACAAAATTTCACGTGGTAAAATTTGAGTGGAAGTATCATCGGCTAAAGTGGTGATACCATACTACTCCATAATTTCTCGCTCTCTTGCTAGTTGCTATCCATTTTCATTTTGTTGAGTATTTTTAACCCGAATCTTGAGTTGTCGAGTCTCTTCAACCAGAATCTTGAGGCAGGAGGGCTCATGGCATGATAGGTCCAACCACTCAATATCGATATATTGATTATTAAGTCATTCATATTCTTAATGTTGGTAATATTTTAATTACATAATTATCAGTATTGTATCGTATCAATATGATTATTAATTGAATTTAAGCAAAAAAATAAATAGCAACGTGATATTATTTGATTAGAAAGTTGGAGAAGCTGGTTGTGAGGCGGCCTGACTCAAGATTTTCACTTTTATCTACTCTTTGGTTATATGGTTTAATTACCTGTCAACTATGTAAATAACCATAGATTCAACAAAAAATAATTATTATCTTTCTTAATTCATAATAGTTGTTTGGCTTGTTTGGGTTTGTCATGCAATTTTGGTCTTTTTTTTTAGCAAGCTACTTCTTCTTGTCGTCTGTTGTTAAGTGCAGATATAATTCAGATTTCGTAGCCTCGTGATATTGTATGTAATATATATTTTCTTTTCTTTCGGGCTTATACCCTGATCCAAAACAAGCCTCTACAAGGTAGAAAACAAATGGCTTCCCTCTCAGTATTATTGTTTAATGGACTTTAACTGGCCGCTAATCGCTCTATTTTAAACACCAACAGTTTTGAGGTTCATCCCATTTATACACAAAGAGTCAAGAACAATGCTTGCAGCTTACTAGGTGGCGCGGTGAACGAAATTATGGCCTCGGCCGCGGCCTCGTCCAACATTGCCGTAACCACTTCCGTAGTAACCACCACTCCGCCGGCCACCTCGACCTGGCTACGACCTCCACCACCGCGATGCCTTGGCGAACTGCTAAATGTCTGCATAACCATCACAAGGAGGTGTTCAAAACATACATACTTGCAAACAAACAACGACTACTAAGTGATAGAAACTGAAGGCATTGGTGTCAGATTTTCGATACTTTTCGTTCAAGTTTCAAGCCGATAAGAATACCTCTTAGGAGAACCTGGTCCTCCCACTGCACATTCCATGATAAAGTGCATTGCACGACAGAGAATCAAAGAAGTCATCCCAACATAAACCGTCTGAAGAACAAGAAATCTAAATTAACAAAAGTCAATTCGTTAATATCATCTGACATGCTCTAACGTCATTTTCATCCAGAGTATCACATACGTTAAGCAAAACAAATGAAATAGTAACGAAAGGATTTAACTTCGTTAAGATTACAGCTAACTTAAGCTCGAACTTGAGTACTCCGTAATGCAGCGAAAATTCGTCAAGATTATACTAGCCATCAAACTTCTTTCTAATTTTTCTTTTTGCCAGCATCCGTGTCGTTGGAAATTCATACAACCTAAATTCTGCAGTGAACCATGAATATACTGTTGATCTTACATACCAACTTATTAAACAATCCACATTTTACATAAACTCACAGATTATAATGCTAAGTAAAGCACCCTGCTTTTTCCAAAAGCAAAAACATCACAACTTCTATTGGAAAACAAACAAAATCCCACTACAAAAATTCAAAAATGAATAAAAATAACAACCCAATTGGCCAGGAAACTAAAAGGGGGAGTTTTGATGACACCATTTCTCAGACCAATGCTGGATTCTTTTTGGTTTTTCGTTCTTTCCCGGGGCCGGTTTGCTGTTCATGTGTAAGTGTTGGATGTAAAAAGGTGAATATTTTGTGTTTACCGGTAAGACCTTGATGTTACTAAATTCGCTTAGAATGTATGTGTTTTTCTTAAAAAGTACTTAAAATTGCTTCCTCGGCCAATTTATAAATCATAAACACTTTTAACTTTTTCGTAAACAAACGTTTGGAAACACCTTAATTTTTAAAGGGATTTTGGACCTTACAAAACATTCTCAAATAAGTCTGTAGATGTTATATTGTAACTCATATATCATGTCAATCCATAATCTGATATACAACTGATTTTTCTGAAACGGTTATTTTCACTCATCACATTTTGCTTCACACACTCGTTCAATTTATTAATAGTTTTTTATGTAATTATACAGGATGACAATTCAACACCGCATTTTATTCCTCAAATACTCTAAAAACTATTAACTAATCAAAAGAGGTTGTAAAAAAAATAAAATAGAGTGAAAATCACAACATCCCTCGTTCTTCATGCTCTCGTAATTGCATTTTTAGGGGGTTTTTATTTGAGTTCATTGATGAATTAATATATGAGTTGAGTATTAGGCTTGAGTTTCTCATGTCACAAATTCAACAAACAAAATTGAAATGAGTTCAAATCCAAATTGAATAGAACCGATTGATCAAATTAAAACCAAACCATACAGATTAATTATTCGATTTGGGTTTGGGTTTGGGATTGTGGATTAAAATGAAACGAACTAGACCATGCCAATTGTTTTATTATCTTGAAATCAAATATAAAAAACTGATCAGCTCAAGTAATTAATAACGTCTTATATCTCATTTGACATCTTTAAATTCAAATTTCACCATCTTAATATCGTCTATAAAATAAAAAAGCTCAAATAATATATTTTGAAAAACTTTTAACAGAAAAAGAAAGTGGGCAATGATGCTCACCGAAGAAAAATCAAAATAACAGCACCCGAACAAAAATCAAAACAAAATACCAAAATGAAATACACAGGTAAAATTGATTCTTGCGCACATGAGAATCCGATTTAAGGAGCTTTTCCCCTTCTCTTCTTCCCGTCGATTTTCTGATCCGAAGGGACACCGTCCTCCGCTCCACCACCGCCCACCGGTGTCTGTTTTCAGATGCCAATCTAGGGTTCTCGAAGCTCCGTAAAATCCTCTCCTTTGAGTTCATCTTACAAATATTCATATGACCAGAACCAGCAAAAAACGACGCCATGGCTACCCACATCCCAACAATCCCTCTTCTGCCAACCCAATTCGCCATAAACCCCAACCCGCCAAGAAGCTGCATTCTTCCTCCAACCCAACTCACAGAATCCCCAATTCCCCAACCCCAATTCACAAAACGCTCAATTCTTCAGCCGTAGCTCTGTTGCCGGCGAACCCACGTACCCAAACCCCAGTAGCAAAGCACCCAACCTTCGCCTCGTACCTCGACACTCCGAATCTGCCTCCGAAAATCGGACTTCTCTGCGAAATATTGGCCAAAACCCACACCCCTTCTGTTGAGGAACGGTTGGAGGAGACCGGTGTTAGAGTGACCCAAGAAGATGTTGAAGAGGTGCTCAAACTGTCCTACGGGTTCCCGGGCCCGTCAGTGAAGTTTTTCCGGTGGGCCGGTCGCCAGCTCAATGACTTTCACAGCCCCTATGCTTGGAACTTGGTTGTTGATCTTTTGGGCAAGAATTGCTTCTTTGATGCAATGTGGGATGCCATCAGTGCCATGGCGAAAGAAAGGTTACTCTCTTTGGCCACTTTTGCTTCTGTTTTTAGTAGCTATGTAGTTGCCAATCGTGTCAAAGAGGCTATTTCGACTTTTGAGTGTATGAGCCAATATGGTTGTCCTAGGGACATTGTGGCCTTGAATTCTCTTCTGAGTGCAATTTGCAGAGATGGCAAGACCGCTGATGCCGTTGAGTTTTTGCGTGTTGCCAAGGTTGAGATTAGGCCGGACCCTGACACCTATGCCATTTTGTTGGAGGGTTTCGAAAATGAAGGCAATGTGGATTGTGCTAGGCAGGTCTTTTCTGAGATGGTGATTGAAATTGGTTGGGACCCCAACAATGTTCCAGCTTATGATTCATTCTTGAATACTTTGCTTAAGGGACCTGACGGGATCCGTGAGGCAGTGAAGGTCTTTGAGACCTTAAAAAATAGGAGGTGTTATCCGGGGATCAGTTTTTTCAGGCTTGCACTGGATGAGTGTGTCAAGAAGTGCGATTCTAGGGGAGCAGACACTCTCTGGCAGGCAATGGTAGGGAGAATTGGATGCCAACCTGATACGAGTATGTATAATTTGGTGATTTCTTTACATTGTCGTGATGGCAATGTTGATTTAGCACGAAGGATGTTCGATGAGATGGTGTACAAGGGGGCATTCCCGAATGCACAAACATATAACATGGTTTTTAGGCTTTTAATCAAGGATAGGAAGTTAAAGGAGGCTTCGGCATTGTTTACAGAGATGGTTAAAAATGAGTGTGTTCCAGAGCTTGCTAATTGTGACATAGCAGTAAGGATTTTCCTGGATTTTGGGGACCCTTACTTTGCTATAAAAGTTTGGAAGTGCATGATAGAGAATTACGATTCTGGCTTGGAGGATACAGGGAATTTGTTGGTTGTAGGGCTCCGCGATTTGAATAGGATCCCAGAAGCCGTTAAGTACGCGGAGGATATGATTGCAAGAGGAATGAAGTTGGACTTTTCGACATTGTCAAAACTGAAACAGGACCTCTTACGAGCAAGGAAGGAATACGTGTACGATGAGCTTTTGAGAAAGTGGAAAGCTCGATAGGTAGGTTCGAAATACTTGGAATCATAAATGTTTGCTACATAGTTGCACTATTTTTCCTATGCCATCTATATGCTGTATCAACTGATAGATGTAATTTCGGATAGCCATTTTTTATAACGAAGATGTTTGTTCTTTTCTTGTAAGTCTAATTATCAGTTTAGCCAGCTATTTAGACTTCTACTTCAGATGTAATGGCATTGTTGGTTATATAATTTGATGAAAATTTATCCACCTATACTTTCCAAACAGAACCCTCAAATTTTGTTAATCTTTGCTCAAAATATGTGGACTGTTAACGGCGTCTCTTCAAATGGAGAAAATAAACTTGGAATGTGGACAAAACTCAGAGATGATTATATGAAAGATATTAATATCCTTGGTTAGAGTCATAAATAGAAAAATTTATAAATTTTATGTGGAAAAAGGGTGGAATTTGTGGGGCATATATCCCAACATTAAATTCTGTTTATATAGGTGTTGTTTCCAAATTCTATGTAATAAGAGTTTTGAGGAAGAGAATGCTAAGGAAACTCTTCATAGACTTTGTTACTTCATGTTTTTGGTACAATATTTTATAATGTTGACACGAAAATTGATGTTAAACTGTAAAGATGTTTTTGACACAATGTTGTATAATATTGGCACGGGAATTGACATTAAACTGTGAGTTAGCAGAAAAACCACGGAGAGTCCCACTTTTGAAACAATCCCCTTAGCACTTCTCTTTGAGGAAACATTACATAAACGATCAGCGTAAAGATCTACGTAAATGACCAACTTCAAATTCTTTATTTAAAACCGTGCTAATAGGTAACCACATAAGAAACTCCACTAATTCGTTGTAGTTAGTATTCTTAAACTCACTCATCCAAGTGCACTGTAAATGTTCTGATTTGTCTTTCATATTTGCTTGGCGCTCTTCAAGTTATTTCCATTAAGCTTTGCATTAAAGTTGGGTGCCAATAAAGGCACACTTAGAAATTAATACCACAAAACTCACATCCTCTGGGTTCACAAAACCCCACACATTCAAGTGAATCATACTTCACTCACTCCTCGGGTAATTAGAAAATAATGTTAAGCATAACTGAAACAAGGGAGGCAGCCTAATACAAATATCTTAGCTGCTGTTGCTGCATTTAGCCAAATATGCATTCCAGCCTTGACGACGGTATTCTTGAGCCACCTCCGCAGGGTTTGCGGCTTTTATAATTCCACGACCCACAATTATAATGTCACTACCTCTATCGTAGATCACCTGAAACACAATACGTTTCGGTCACAACACTAGCTCATAAAATAGTATAGTCATAACAAATGCAGGTCGAAATATAGACAAGTGATGTCAATGCCCCTTTGAGCAGGGTGATTTCTTTCATATACACTATGAACTCCAAACTCAATCCCTCGAACAACGGTATGAACATCAAATCTCTCAAGTTATGGTTGCCAAACTGATACGAAAGTAGTGTAGTATATGGTAAACTTACGGAGTTTGGAGTGTTATATTGCTGGCCAAGAGCATCACCACCAGTTACCATTTTCACTCCAGGAGTTGCCTGGATGAAAGCTGGATTTACTGGTGCCCCTGGCCATGATGCTGGGTTAACTGAAATGAAGCCAATCACAAAGTCAGAATGCTCCTCCGCTATCTTCACTGCGGCAGCTGTGTAATCTCCCTTTGCAAAGTTACCAGCTGAGCTCATTTCGGCAAGAAGCAACAGCCCCCTACCATGTGGCAAACCCTACAAGAGAAAGAGAGTACACAAGTAGTAAACAGTTAGGAAAAATTAATTCATCTGAGCAAAAATTTATGCAGTGCGAGCCATCAATCCAAAGTTGCAAACCTTCAACTTTAGTCCATCAACTATCCCGGGACCAGAGATTATATGACAGTTGACAATATCAGCCCAGTCCAGTATACGGAATATACCTCTGCAAACAGAAAAAACTGATAAGCTAAGGGAAATGATACTAACATACAGAAAAATAAGAAAAAAAAACCTAAGCCTGAGCCTCACCCTTCATACTGCATTGTTACTGTGTTACCAATGTCTGCGAACTTGCGATCTTCAAAAATTAGGAAATTATGTTTATCTGCAATCTTCAATTGGATAAGGCACATATCAGCTATAACTCGACAATTGCCTTCAATCAACCAAAACACATTTGTAACTGTATAAATTGAATACAGTCCTGCTCAGAAGAAAGCTATAATTTGACAATTACTAAGTTCCACCACTGATAATAATATGAATAATCAGTGCAATTATTTATCAGTGCATGACATTATACTTCTTTTGAATTAAAGTCACGGCTTTGAAAATGCAGGCTTAAAATGGTTTTAGCAATCCATTCAGGCAAGTAATACCAAGGGGGAACACTATTGACTCAGATGTTCGTAATGAAAGATCAAGCGATTTTCCGGAAGCTTGCTTGATTTAACTAAAACTCAAGCAGCAATTAAGAACAGATAACAGATGAAGTAACAATTTACTATCTCAATCTGCAGCAACATTCACACCAATTCCATCAAGAAATTATAAAATCTACATGAACCAGCAGCCATAAATCATGACTAATATCCAGTTGCATTACAAAACATGAAGAAAAAATGTTTAGAAACATACTGAGCGAAGTTTAGAGCCAAAATCCGGGGTGAAGTCAGGCAATATATCAACATGGGTTTTCAGTAAACAAATCTCCGGCCCAACCTGCATTAAAACGTTTACATCATAGAATCAGTGACCATCACAACAATAGATATTCAACTATCCCCATTCTTTTCTTATTCAATTCACTTCCCTCTCTCATCACAGATTGTTCAAATTTACAAGGCACCTGCCTTTGTCTACATACTACTGTCAAAGTGCATTTACAAATCTAGCAACAAATACATATTTAAATAAAATAGTACAACAACAAAAAACCCAGTTAGAAATCTAGAATATCATATTACCAGAATATCACAACCAACAGTGGCACAATAAGTTAATTTCGAATTTTTATCCCAAAATTCTATGCTGCTCCGGAATATATCCTATAGTGCAGGTGTTAAACCGTTCAATCTTAGTCATTGTATCTTCGACCGAAGATCTAATAGTCGAATTTGACCAAGATCTAACGGTAAAAAAAAGTTTGGCTCCGGAGTATATTAGAAAATCTATATCCGAATCGTGAAAAATTAGCCTCATCCGTATCATGAAACCATTTGTCTAACTCCAACCCTGCAAAGGTTTAAGCTTGCACATGGACATAGTGTAGCTTCCCACATGGCAGTTCCTAGTCCAACTTCTTGTTAACACCCACGTGTATATTTATAACACTTGGCTCCAACAATACAGTTAAATTACAGTGCTTTCATATATTTTCCGGGAAAATTAAAAGATTCCGAGAAAATCCAAGAAAATCTCACCTTCTCAGCTATGTCGAGCAACTCCTTGGCAGTCCCAACATCGGCAGCCACACATAGATTGCTCTGCTTCTGCACCATCACCTCAAAAAGCCTCTTCCCCGTCGGATTCTTTGACACCTTCGCTCTCTCCTCCAGCGCCAATCCCCTAACCTTAACTTTCTCCACACTGTTTGGCACAACCGGCGGCGCCGCCACCTTCCGATTCTCCTCCAAAAACTTCAAAACAATCAACTCCGTCTCCTCCCCGACCTTCCCCTTCTCCTTCAACACCCTCACCATCTCGCTCAACCGAAACAACGAGTGCAATCGAATCCCATTCTCCTCCAAATTCTCCCTCCCGCCCTGTTCCCGGTCGATCAGTACAACGGCGTCTTCGACCTTCAGACCGGCGGCGCGTAGGGGCGCAGCCGTCTCCAAAACCGATCCGCCGCTTGTAACCAAGTCCTCGATTATAAGGCAGACTTGGTCTGGCTTGAAGACGCCTTCGATGGCCTTGGCGGTGCCGTAGTCCTTGACCTCCTTGCGGCGCATGAGCATAGGGAGGTCATTGGAGGTGCTGATGCAGGTGGCGATTGGGAGGGCGGTGTAGGGGACGCCGCAGATGAGGTCGTAACGCGTGGAGGAGGGGACGGTGGCGATTAGGGTTTGGGAAATTTGGCTGAGGAGGGCGGGGTAAGATACGATGAGGCGGAGGTCTATGTAGATTGGGGAGGAGATGCCGGATTTGAGTTTGAAGTTGCCGAACTTGACAGCGGAGATATCGTGGAGTTGGAGGATGAGGGACTCGGTGGACGGCAAAGATGCCATTTTTTATAAGACGGTGGCGGCGGATTGGGAAGAGAAGAAGGAGAGTTAGTGGAGAGAATGAGCAGCGAGCACACACAGTGGCTTTTACGTACGGAATAATAGAGAAAATGCTGAAATGCGATTAAAGCAAAACGAAAAATGAAAAAGGTTTTCCAAACTTTTTTTTTTTAATTCAAAAACACTTAATTATTTTCTTTTTTTCTTCTTTTTTTTTCAAAAAAGAATCAGCTGTTGATTTCATCTCTTCTAGAGGCTGAGAAGATTTGTAGAAGCATTTCAGCCACTCCTGAAATGTAATTAATTTTTTTTAATTATAAATACAAGATGTTGTGGTAATAGGTAATGAGGAGTGTTGCGTTGCTTTTGCACTACATTCAAAACCTCGTCAGCTCCTTAATATAACATCTAATCAAGAAAATTTATAATTTTACAAAAAAAAAAATTGTTTAAATATTCAGTTGACTTATATTGAATTTTTGCGTTTGATGACAGAATCATAATTAAGTTAAAGTTTGGAAACATCTGTTTCTTCACAAATTATCGCAATATTTATTCATAAATTATCGAAAATCATTTTTTCATAAATTATAGGAAAACTATTTCTTCATAAGAACACAGTTCTTGCTTGGCTGCAGTGCAAAGTAGAATATAATTATTTACTGGTAAATTACATTTTCATACCTCAGGTTTGGGGCTTATTTTAATTCCGTACAACATCTTCAAAACATTTCACTTCATACCTTAAGTAATATTTTATTTCAAAATAATACATCTGTTACATTTTCCATCCATGGATCCGTTAAATGTTGACGTAGCTGCCACATATATGCCACATGGCACAAAAAAAAAAAATTTAAATATTTTTTTTAAACCTGAAAAAATTAAAAAAAAATTAAGAAAAACCATTATCCCTTCCCCCCAGCGACCCACATCCCCGAAGAACCCAAAAACTTGAAGAAGAAGAAGAAGAGGGAGGGAAAAAAAAAACCCAAATCCATTTCCCCACGTGTAAGAAGAAGAAGAGGAAAAAAAAAACTGCAACCCCCCCCCCCCAACCCTGCAGCAGCAACAACAACAACAACAAGAGGAAGAGGAGGAAGGGAAAAAGAAAAAAAAAACAAACTGCAACCCATTTCGTCCCCACCCCCTCTCCCCCAGTTCCCCACCTGCAACAACAACAACAACAACAAGAGGAAGAGGAGGAAGGAAAAAAAAAAAAAAAAACAAACTGCAACCCATTTCGTCCCCACCCCCTCTCCCCCAGTTCCCCACCTGCAACAACAACAACAACAATAAGAGGAAGAGGAAGTAAAAAAAAAACTGCAACCTAGTTCATCACCCAACCCCCCCTCCCCGCGCGCCCACGACCAAGAACCTACCCTCCCTCCCCACCCCTTCCGGGACTCTGCGACCTACCTCCCTTGCACAGAGACCCCCAATTAATTACACCTAATCTCGAGTAGTTTTGTGGTAGATTCATCTTGGGGAGTTTGAGATGATTTTTGGACTGATTTTGTGGTAGATCCACATAATCTTAGGTGAGATTTTTGAGGGTGGGTGATGGGGATGGGAGAGAGGGGTGGCTCGGGTGGGATTTTGGGGTGGGTGATGATGGATGGGAGAAGGGAGTGGGTCGGGGATGGGGTTTTTTTTTTTTTTTTTTTTTTTTTTTTTGGCCACGTGGCACACATTTGGCAACCACATCAGCACTTAATGGATCCATGGATGGAAAATGTAACGGATGTATTATTTTGAAATAAAATAGTACTTAAGGTATGAAAATGAAATGTTTTGCAGATGTTGTAAGGAATTGAAATAGACCCCAAACCTGAGGTATGAAAATATAATTTACCAATTATTTAAAGGTCCAATTATTTTTAAAAAGTGTATAATAGAGATTGTACGATAATTGTTTTTAGGTATGAGAAAATGTTGATAATTTATGAAGTAGTAGCTGAAAATTTATGAAGAAACAATTGATGGTGACATCAAATTTTAACTTAATTACAATATTGTCACAATAAATAAAATTTAATATAATACGATGTTGTCACTGCTTTCTTGTTTTCTGTCCTTGTCACTAATAAAAGTTCATTAAGTATTTTTTATTAAAAATTTGTTATCTAAGGTTCTTTTCATTTAAGATAATCGAACATAAAATGACACACCTGGATCTGTCACGTCCTGATTTAGGTCGAGGTATATCATAAAACATCTCACTTGTAAATGTAAATGAATACTACAAGATTGTAATGCTAATGACTCAACAGCCAATTTATATATATCCCGCCAACTAATAATCTGGCTTGGATAGTTATTTTTTGGGTCATACAATGTTAGCATATAACAAACATGCTCATGATTTGTGATGTTTATTTTCAATAAATATTTTATCACTAAAACTGGTCTCAGTTTTCACATTGTAACATTGCAATGTGAAAGGGAGGCGCAAAAAAATAAAAATAAAAATTAATTAAAACAGAAGAAAGTGAGAGTGATAACAGAGTGCGCAAAAGGGTAGAGAGAGTAGAGGGTGAAAAGAGGGGAAGATTTGAGAGCGTTTGCAGACAGAAGATTGTGGGTGGATCCCGCTGGACCAAAAACCCAAACATAATGAAACAAAGGTCAAGAAAATATCTAAAAGTCAATTTACTAAAACACCCTTGAACTTCATGGTTTCATAAAATCTTCGTCGTTATCCAAATTTCGTTCCGCTTAGAGTTCGCATCGTAGAGTGCTACAAGAAAATCCTAATTTGATAGGTCATTAGTGTCATGACCCAAAATGTCAACCGAAATCAGCATATTCTCCTTTTAGAACATGACAGTGTGGCCTATCAATGCTTTAAACCTTCGGAATTTGAAGTTAGAGGTATCAGAAAAGTTATTACAGGAATAACTAGCTTGTGGCAGTCAAGCGGTCATAACGACGTTGCTTTTTGATCCTTCGATGTCGGCTCTTCCTATCATTATTGTAGACATCGAAATTTCAGTAAAACAAATGTTCACCCAACGCATCAAAGTTTTGACGTGTCAAGGCATACATGGCATACGCCACGTGTCGTACAAATTGTACACATGGCATGTGACTCAACAAAATAGGAAGAAATACCCTTGGATGATTAAACAAGGTTTTTTCTTCTCAATTTGGGCAATGACAAGGTAAGCACACTTCAATCCATTACGGATCAAAGCAAGTTTTTCTCATTTGGGCAATGACAAAGCATACACATTTCAAGTTTAAAATGGTGTTAAGTGGGAAATTAGGCCATAAGTTAGACCACTTCAAGTTTAAAATGGTATTAAGTGGGAAATTAGGCCATAAGTTACACCACTTCAATTTCAATATTGCATTAAGTGGGAAAATTAGGCAATGGTGCTTGGAAAGGAAAAAAATATTTTGTGGTAGTGATTCATTCTCAAAGCCTATAAATAGGCTTCTCCATCAAGGTATCAAGCATCAAGGAATTCACAAATACATTTCTCTACTCCCAAATTGGAAGAGAATTCCCCAAATCCTTGAAGCTTTGAAACTCCAAAGCTCTCAAGCATCCAAATTCCCAAGAATCCCGAAGGATCAAGAAAGCACTCTTCGTTTCTTCGTCAAATCCTCCTTCAAGATCAAGCCCCAACGGCCCTTGAAGAACTTCCACCAACTCAAGATCAAGCCCCGACGGCCCTTGAAGAAAGTGTTCATTGTTCATCAACTGTTCATCCTAAGATCAAGCCCCAACGGCCCTTTGGATCAACAACCTCAACAAATCCACACATCCAATCGTTCTTCAAGATTAAGCCCAAAAGCCCTTGAAGATCCGCTCATCCATCAACCTTCAAGATCAAGCCCAAAAGCCCTTGAAGAAATCCACACAATCATTATTCAAGATCAAGCCCAAAAGCCCTTGAAGAAATCCACACAACCATTATTCAAGATCAAGCCCAAACGGCCCTTGAAGAAAGTGTTCATCCGTTCATCAACTGTTCATCTTTAGATCAAGCCCCGACGGCCCTTTGGATCAACAACTCATCCACAAACCTACACTCTACGAAGATAGAATCAGAGGACCAAATTTGAGAGAGATCGTAACCCCAAAATCATAAACACAAAAATATTATTTTGTACACGTTATTCTGGTTTCTTGTTTCAAAGGAATCTTTCGTGTTCACAAATTTGGCACGCCCAGTGGGACCATCTCTACCTCTCATCTCTGTCTCCGTTCAAGATATTTAAGCACAGTCCATGGCTTCAAACAAAGAACAAGTCATGACTATCGGCACTACCTCCATTGAAAAACAGTTGGTTCAGATGAAGGAAACAATTGCAAGGCTGCTAAAGACTGCAGAGGAGAAAAACTTGCAAACCGCCGGACTCATCAACCGTCTGGAGGCGCAACATGGCGTCAAAGTGAAACCAAGCTCTCTTCCAACTAAGAAGACCGAAGAAGGCTTTAACCCAAATGCCTACGAACTCATGTCAAAGGCTAGGCATGACTTTGCTTCCTCTTCAAATCTTGGAAAGAAGGTTTCAAACACCGTCAACGACAAAGATCGTGACCTCACCAAAACTCAAAAGAAGTTGAAGGAGCATGGTTACGGAGTTGACAACAACCAAAGCACACCTCCAAAATCAATGGCATCAAGCAAGGGACAAGCCGTTCTTGCAACCACCAAGGGAAGAAGCATAAGCACTTCCGCCGCAAATGGAGCATCCATTTGTGCCACAACCACTTCTCAACATGCCGCTGCAAAGTTGGTATTGCTAAGCAAGCAAGAGCAGCATCAAAGGCGCGAGTCGGTCATCCACCTGACCTTGATGGGGGCACCAAAGCATGCTATTGAGGCACACAAGATGACACCCCAAAATGGCCAATGGGGTTCTTCATCAGCACTATGGATGTCTGAAGGAAAGTCATGTCTATTGGTTGCACAAGTCATGACCATCGGCGTCACCTCTGTTGAAGAACAACTAGCTCAAATGAGCGAAGCAATTGCAAAGCTTACACAGACTGTGGAAGAGAAGGACTTG